CTCAGGTTCACGGGGGCACACAAGCTCCACCACCACGTCAAGGTCCTGTACTCCCTAGGTGGGACAAATTGCACTTGAATTTTAAAATACAGACAAAACTGTTCATGCATAACTTATACTTGGTTATTCACACATAAATTTTGCAAGATCATATCCCATTTTATCTGCACATATTTCAAAACTACCCAATAGTTTAATTCAGATAATATATTTTCTTAAAATTGTTATTGAAAACTTGGCATAGTAGCTGCGTTTTTTGAGAGAAAAACAATTTTCTCTTTCGAAGACAACAAAGTTTCAGTTGTGTACGTATGTTGCAACAAAGAGTCATCTGTCACTCTCTTAGTCATTATCTGCGTCTTTGGAGGTCACTGCCTCTCCGTAATCTTTCTGCAGCTGACTCTGAATCATCATCCATATTAGTTGACTGCTGATGATTTCTTCTGGTAACTCAACATCCATTTCAGCTTCAAAGATATTTCTCCCACTATGGCATCGAAGACTGTCCCTGCAATCTTACCTAAATCTTGAAGTTTTTCCAGCTTTGTTTTTGTCCAGCTGAAGTGTTCAATCATGGCAATATATGTTCATACTCAACATTTTCTGTATGGTGTCTTTCATAACATTCCAAGATGATGTTACTGATGAAATGCCATGAACATTGAACGTTTTTATTAAATCAGGCAAATTCAGTATCATCCATTTCTTCTATTAGTTATTGCAGAACCCATCATGAAATGCAGCTTAAAACATGAGGCTGCATTACATTATGTTTACATTATGTCCTGGTTCAGGGATTGCAAGCGTGAGCAGTGTTGGCTAGTAAGCACTTGTAGCAAGGCTTGCTCTACATCCAGAAATTTTCGCTATTCAATTTTTTAAAGTAAGGTACTACATGTAGTATGTATATATGTCGTTTATAATCATTCTCATGAGTTATAGTCTCAGTGTCATCGTGACCTGGTTTGAGAGGTGCATTGAACCAGAGCAGCAAAAAATTAGAATACTTATTAAAAATTTTGAATGAAACAAAACAAAATTTGTAATACATACCAAAGAGCAATACAATTTTACCCATGTGAGTTAACATAGAAGTATAACAACAGATATCAAAAGTTTCACATTTCACCGGTCACAAGAAATAAATATTTTAGAGGGCGGTATTGTTTTAATGATCGACAAACTTTAAAACTCAGTAATAAGGCACTTGAACATAGAAACTGAAGTTTTGCGTATCAGTTTCAATCAATAGTATTCACAGTAGAAAAAAGGTCATAAAAGGGCTGCATTTTTAAGAACATATTTTTAAATTAAAAACTTCAAATATTGCAGTGTTTAACATCTTCATATTTATTTGGTCCTTTGTTATTTGCTATGAAATCTTTGTCTTCAGTGAACATCTTGAAAATTTTGTACAGTCCCAATTTACCTATCTCATCATGTATCAAAAATATAACACTTCTTAAAATGAA